GTAAACACATGGCAACTTACAGAAGTGCTGTCCTATAGGCATCCCAGCACTAAAATGCATTCACCCAATTTATTGCTTGAATTACGTTCCAATAAATACTTTTGTTCTAAATACCTGTAAGTAGTGCAAGGAACTCCTTTTTTTTTTTTTTTTTTTTTTTTTTTTTTTTTTTTAGCTGTAGTATGCAATGCAAAGATATAACTGGCACCATTTGCAACTTTTATGTTTACAGATGTTAAGATCATAAACAATCCAATGAAAAGAAGTTAAACAACTCAAAGACRACAAATGTATTTTACAGGTACATGAAGAACACAAAAGGATTATTCTGCTTTTGTTATTTCTTGTCTTTTCCACAAAGCAGTGAATTTCAGCCTCCTTGGAAGTCTTAAATTCTTGGGAGTTGTTTAGGGTTTTTAGGACTTGTAGGGTATTTTTACGTTCACAAATTGCATCTAGCCCTAGAGAGTTAAACTGTTCACAGCCTGCTAACCAGTCACTTTCAGGGGAAAAATGAAAARTTGGTGGTGTGAAATTTCAATAATAAAAGCTATTCAGCACAAGTTTACTCAGCTTACCAAATGTCTGTCTCATTTTCCTATACAACTCATTTTAACTCCTCTCACCCCGGCAAAACCCTCACTGCTGTCAGGAACACCATCATCTTTTTGCCATTCTATATCCCATAAAATGTGGAGTTTTCAGGTACCCTGCACTGCCTCAATTCAGCTCTGACTCAACTTGCCTTAATCGTTATTTCTTGGATAAATAGTCTCTAAAAAAAATCCCAAATACCTCAAAGCATACCTCAATACAACAACAGCCACAACAAGCATTCTTTGGATATTCTGGCCTCACCCACCCAGAAGAGATCTGGGGAGTCAAGGGAATTRAGCAAAACAAGTCAGGGAATTAAGCAAAACCATGGTAGGTCTAGGATATTTTAAATAAAGTGTACCCCGCAGACTTTAGGGCAGGTGGATGGGAAGAAAAATACTGCCAAGCAAAACAGACACTGGTTGCTTATGAAGTAAAAATTCCCCCCCAATTCTCAAAATTGACTGGTACGTGAAGCCCAAAACAAACCACTGCATAAACCAACATTATTAATAACYAACTGTGCCATCAGAAATGCTGATCAGTTTCTGTAACAGAAGGAGAAGATTATAATTTCAGTTTCTTTAGCCACTCCAGAAAAGGAGGATGTAGGGAATGAGGATAGAAAATATGCTGTGTGCATTCATTGGGGGGATCACTTCAGCTCAACACCCCAGGATGAAAGGAGCTGCATGACACTTGCAGAGAAACCCAATTCACCCAGCAACATAAAAAAAACCACTATCAGTTCCTTACTGTCACATCCTGATGTTCAGGGTATTGACCACTGCTGGAGGAGTGGCAACTTGGGCCCTGCCCCAACCAACCCATGCAAATCACAAATGTTCATTCTAAGGGCATGGAYCAGCATGGCTGTGAACCTGCATTTACACTGGAATTTGGAACAATGCTGGAGGGAACAAATCCATCTAAACATSTAAGACATTTTGTCAGAAGAAAGTATTGCTGCACAGAGAGCTAGAAATTGCTGATAAATGACACAAGCTCAGGTGAAGGAATAAATGAATGAAAGGCAGCAATATGAAGACACATTTTTCAAAAAGCCCAGCTGTTGCACATTTTGGGAAAGGAAAAATGAAAACGGGAAGAGCACAAGCACAAATACTCAGTGAGACAGCACAATGTGGCTACTTCTTGCTTGAGCAGCATTCAACATGGCAGACCTGTCAAGCAGACCATGCTCTTTGAGATGCAAATGGCCAATACCAGTAAGCCTGTGAGGCACCCAGGAGGATTTCAAGAAAAACTTTCCTGTAGAGCTTGCTTGGACCCTCAGCCAATTCCCTTTACTCAAACACAACTCACTCAGGAAAATCCATGAGACAAAGAAGAGCAGGAAAGTTAGAATTAATGGACATGAAAACTAAATGGTTCAACAGAAGATCTGAAAGTTACAGAATCCACATTCTTCCTGCACATTCTGAGTCTTCTTGTCCATATGGATAATACTTAATATTTCAAGTGTTACTGACAATTCTTGTACCGGTCTCGCATCTGTTTGGTAGTTAAAACAGGTGTTCAAACTGGCAGCTAACATTATTTTCTTAGAYTATTTTGGGCCAGTAACATGSAAATTATTATAAATCACATGAATASAAGTCTGAACAGCATCAAACCCAGGGATAAACATTCCAAAGGGACAGGAAGGCAAACAGTAGAAAAATCTGTAAAGGCAAAGCTTTCCCAAACACCAAGAAAATAAATTTTAACTCACAGATGACAGGAGATACAATTACACTCAGAGTATCACTGTGGAAAAATATACTGACTAATTCATTATATTCTAAATATGTTTTTTTAACACTCTGACAACAGCTGCTTTTCTGTAATATTCAGAAACAGTTAAACATGATGCCAAGCACACATTCCCCGCTTCCCACTGTAGTGAATTTAGCACTCATATATCGTATTAAATTGATGAACATCAATTTGCCCAATGCAAAGATACGCAAACATAAAAGGAGWGATAAGAGGCAAAGGTTTTTCTACAATCTTATGGATACTGTGCAATACCAGTACATAACATGAACATGTTTTTCACTTTGAACCCTCACATTTGTACCCCCTTTACTGTGGTTTGCTAAGGAAAAAGGGATAGATAATCCATCTCTTCTGGTGGGTTTTTTTTCTGCTGAAACAATAACCTGTGAATCCCCAGGCAAATTTCAACCACATTTAACCAATGAGTAGTATAAGACTATTACGTCCCTATAAACTTTGCCAAATTAGACATTTGAGAGAAGATCCTACTGTACTTCTTCCGAAGAGAGGAAAAGTTTCAGTGTGGGCTCCAGTTTTTTAAACTCCAGAGGATGGACACTGGAGAGTGTTATTACTTTGGGAAAACCTTCAGTTAGGACCTGTTTGTTGCTGCGTAAGAAGGTCCCAACCAAAAGACACACAACCTTAGACAAAGAGGTTTCACTATTTCTGGAGCGCAAGAAATCGCTTGTTTCTATACTCATAACTTTGAAGTRCAGAAGTTCACACAGATCAAAGGGAAGATTTTTTGCATGTTTCTCCACAAAGGCCCCTATGAATATCCTGGCTCTGACTTCACCTCTCAGACCAGAAATACAAGAAATCTGCCAATGCAAAGSAAAAGCCAAATGAGACAACAATGCACAGAATTTCAAAATGGCRTCTTTGCATTTCTGCAAAGTAAAATACAATATTCTGCCATGAAAACACCACCTCTGAAAGGTCATTGCTGTATCACCATTATTTTTTAGTTATGGCCCAAAGGTGCAAACTCAGACATAATCAGATGATGTTGAGTGCATGTATCTGTTGAACTACATAGAATTTTAAAACAAGCAATTCAAATAATTGCAGYTTTTCCACACAAGCAGCACCTGTGTTCAAAACAACTCTCTCAGGCAGCAAATGCCTGGAAGAGGGCCAAAGAAGTAATTTTTACTTTTAAATATATGTAGTTAAGTACAATAGTACCCAAAAACAGGCCTAGAACACACAAATAAAGCCACAATACCTTCAGCATCCACTGTACATGGAACAAGAACAGTATAACATCACTTTATACATCACAGTTACAACCATTAATGCCATTATACACAATGATAGTCTGTCATGCCTTTGAATATGAATCAGATATATCATATATGTCCAGTTACTGCCACAGGAATGCAACTAGAACTGAAGAATTTCAGGATGTTACAGAATGCACAAAAAACCTATCACGGCTTCCCTTTGAAGCACATCCATTTCCTTTCTCATGCTGTGTGTGCAGCAGTGTGAAAAATCAAGTAATTAGATTTCTGACCTATCCAAAGGGCCATTTTATAATTGAAGTGCATAAATGAGAGGTGGTTGAGAATAGTTCCTGTAAATAAACTACTGCAATCTTTCTAAAATATTGTGGCCTTAAACTGTTGAAACACCAGAAGTACTTACGCAAAATATTAGTAATAAAGCAGTGAGACATGCTCAGAATTGATAATGAAACCAAGTAGCAAATATACAATTAAGGAAATCACTTCACAGGAAATTTTCTGCACGGTTGAATCAGCTTTGGAATACCTATAAAAGCAACAAAGCACGTAGGACAGTAGTGGCATTTTCTTCTGGCCACATTGAGTTAATTTGGTTGTACCATTTCCTGTGCACAGAYCTGGGATGGGTGGGGAGGAGGTGAGGTTGTGTAATTTCACCACCACTACCACCCTCTACTGCAACACCTGCATCTCCTGCCCTCTTGGCATCAAGGCAGAAGGTAACAGTGCAGCAGAAGATAGAGACAGTGAGAGAGAKAAACCAAATGTTTCAAATGCATTCTCTGTAGTTTCCTAATACAAAATGTTCACCTGAAAATGCAAATATACTCATCCTTTCTCAGTACAGAYAGAAAATCTTAGAAAAAGGCAAAACCATTTACACCACAATGGGTATTTATCAGAATTTCCTATCCAAAATTTTCATTTACAAAGGGTTTCAGTATACTTCGAGTGAAGCACATCTGCTCAGCCAGTGGAAACCAAACCCTGCTGAAACTTTGCTGGAATATACTAACACCATGCCGTACTTCATTGTAAAGGGTTTGAAAACATTGTATAGGAAGCTGTAAAAACTCTGAGCACTGTCTGTGTCACAAAATACATAATTAAAGGCTAAGTTTTGCTTCACATGCTTTATTGCATTTAACAAGATCAAAAAAACAGTTAATGCTTAGGGCAAGTAATTGGAAAAAGAAAAGCAGTTAAGACACATTACAGCAAGCATTATTTATTCCCTCTTCTGTATATGTGTCATACATACACCCCTGATTTTATGAATTGTTGTGTACATATTACATTTATGAATTTATACATTTAGCACAAAAACTTGGAGGAAGAAAATAGTATAAATGCAGGGCTAGTACTTACCCTTATATCTCCATTTACTGCTCTGGAAGTGTGATTAAATGCATGTGCAGGATCTTTGTTGTAAACTTTAAGGAAAGATCGGTCTTGAATATTCCTGGAATTAAAAGAAGCAGCAATGACAATAGATGAAAGMAGTTTTATTTACTTTGTTGCCTGAAAGTTTCAGGTAACAGAAAAACATAGTAGGTCTGCAGCCGATCTATAAGGAAAACGTAAATGCCATAACTAAGACRCACACAAACAAACAAAAGCCTACTTTGATTCTCTTTCCCATGGGAAGTATCATTCTTTGACTACAACTCCACACCCATAAAAATTAGATAGTGTTAAGTTTCTTTCAAGATCCTGCCATAGAGTGAAAACACTTTGAAGACAATAGAACTTCAACATTTACACAGCACTCAAAAAGGATTTAGTTAATATTTACATGCTTTATTGTGCACTCAGCCCACATAAATTTTTGCTATTCTAAGAAGCAAGAATATCAAAAGAAAAGCAGCCTTTCTAACTGGGCTTATTCTTGAGAAAACTTTAATTACCAGCTTGTTCACAAAGCTGAAAAAAATCCACGAAAGCTAAAAATTTAGTAGTAGATAAATTCTTCCTCTAAACTTTATCWATAATAAAGACAATTTTTAAAGGGGAAAAAGTAAGTATTACAGAAAGAAATAAGCAAAAATTTTGATGAAAACTTACACAGAAATGGTTTAGATCAAAAGCCCTACAAGAATACTTTTGTTTTATTAGGACTCTACACTTTGTCATTGATCAGTTGATTTTTTAACTACTACATTTAGGAAAGAGATGACAGTTTTCAATTTTGTTTCAAGACCTACCTTCCAATAATTTTATGGCTTTGACACTTGCCCTGAGCTCTGCTGATTYCTGGTTCACATGTAATCAGTAGCAAAGCCTCCAATCTATGCTCACTTACATCCTTTCAAAGCTGCGATTTCTTTCATTTCCCTGCAGTGATCTCTAGAGAATTTACTTACACATGTGACTGAATTCCTTTCCTCCAGGTGCAGCTACAAGTCTAGTGAACTGATCTTAATCACTTAGATTATAATTTAAAAATGAAGGGAAGGATTGTTGGGCAGGTCCAATTTCTTTCTTACAATGTCATATTACAATCAGTGATTGTTTTGAATGGGTAGCTAGTCAGAACTTGTGTGGCTGTTGTAGATGTCAGGTAGTTATTAAAGAAACCCTGCAGCTCAAGAGACAGATCAGTGTCTTGTGTTTAAGAACTGGAGGGCTGATGAGAAGTTTAGTATTTATGAGTGTTTACTTGTAGACTGCATAGGAAAATAGCAACCTTGCGGCAAGTTCAAGTTCTTCAATTATTTACGGTAACATAAACTGTTTTCCATCTTGCWAATGTGACCCTTTTGCTTTGAGATCTGCACTGGGAGTCTCAGTTACCATTGTCTGCCTTGGACTTGGGACTATGTTCTCAATACAAAGCAAGCTCTCTCATCTTCAGTTCAAGAAACAGCATATTATTCATTTAAACACATTTTATCTGCTGTCTTTTCTGTCTGATGGCTATGAGATGGTACCTCAAATAACTGAAGTTTATTAAAAGCATTTTCCATTAATATTTCTTGTAGAAACATGACACTTTAAAGTAAAATATTGCTTCAAGGCAAAGCATCAAAACACTAGGCATTTGATATCTGATATGAATGTATTTTACCTCATGTTGCTATTCAAAGATAAACATTACCGATAACAGGGATATACTACTGTATTTTTATTATTACTGTAATTTGCATTACTGTAGCTCCCAGATGCCCTTGGCATGTTCAAAGGCCTCACTGATGTGTGTRCTGTGTAAACACCCCAGGAAGACAAGCTCTTCACCAGCTTACAAGGTGAATCAGGAGTCACAAAAGACAACAGGATAGCTTCAGGAAGATAAGGGAACAAAAAGAACTCAGACAACTGTAGTCTCTCCAGCCAGAGGAGCAGTAAACAAACCCTGGAAGCACGGGCATGCTCTGAGTAGGCAGTGCAACAGRGAGTGGGAAGAAGACCAAGGCAGTGGCTTGGCAGACGTCTGTGGAGGACACCTTCCAAGCACRTTAGAGGGCTGCCTGAGAGAGAACGGGAAGGCACTTGTTTGAAAAGTAAACACRTAGAATTCAAGCTGGCATTATTCACTAAGTGGAAGCAGATGGCACTTGGTACTCTACAAGAAATGAAAAGTAGCAYTGAAGTGGGCTTGGAGGAGCCCTCATAATGAAGACAAGTAGTTTAATGAGATGGAGAAGGTACAGTCAGAGGACAAGTGAAAAATAAATGCATGCGGAACAGTCTRCTTGTCAAACTAGGAGAATGATCTTTGTTGCCTCATTTGAATGGGTAAGAGCAAGCAAGATTACCCATTACCTGTGTCAACTGCCAAGAAAAGATGATTACAGCAGTTGCTGTTAAAAAATTGAAGAATTGCATGAGTGTTTCTTCTCTATGTGTTTGGAAAGGCTGGTTTGGAAAGGATGCTCTRGAGAAAAAAAAAATCTGAAATCTACACTGGATGCAGAGCACTGAACCACTTTAAGAAAAAAGACTGGACTTAAGTAGAAAGACAGGGCTTTGTCCCTAATGAAAAAAAAATGAAAGAAAAGAAAAAGAAGAAGGGAAAAAAGGGAAAGAGACAGAGAAAGAGAAAGGGAAAGGGAAAAGGAAAGGGAGAAAGAGAAAGGGAAAAGAAATAAAAAGAAGAAAAAAGAGAAAGAAAAAAAGAAAAAATAAAAGAGAAAGAAAAAAGAAAAAGAAAAAAAAAGAAAAAGAAAAAGAAAAAGAAAAAGAAAAA